GAAGGTTGGTGTGACAGAAGAGAGTGTTAAAGTGAGATGGAAGCAGATGAAGATAAAAAAAAATCCAAAAAGGAGGATGGCAAAAGCAAAGAATGACAATGAAGAGGATAAAAACAGAGAAGAAGGCAAAGAAGATGAAGACGAAAAAAGAAGAGGATGAAGGCAAGGAAGTGGATGAAAAGAAGTTGTATAAAAACGTAACAGTACAAATGCAAAATCCTTGCTGACAGTTTAACCAAAAGGCATTTCCAGTGGAAATTGGCCGACATATCCTCAGCATAACCATATATAATATCCACAAAACTTAAAAAGGAGGTTATACACACACATTACGGTAATATTATGTTGAAGCACAGTACATATCACTCCGCAAGGCGCCTGCCTACGATAGCCGTAATGCTCCAACAATCCACCAAGCGGTGTGGCTTCATAGCTTAGCAAAGTCCTATTGAAACATTTGACATATTTTCGAGCGCCGTGTACATAAAACCGTTTCGAAGTCAGTAAACACAACCAGAATTCATACATAAGGCACACGGGATTATAAGGGGCACTGTCGATTTTCAGAAAAATCAAAGGATTGATTTTAAGTGTGCCGTATTTTCCAAACAACACGGTAATAACGACCGCCAGCTAGCATGCTCTACCAAAAATAGTGCTTTGTTGTGTATCTGACGGACGAAAGCTAAACCAGTTCCACACCACTGTCGTTGCAGCATTTTCACAAACCAATTCTGGTTCATCCGTTTCATTCAACGATCCGCTTTCGCCCTTGTCATTCTCCGCCGCCGCCATGCCTTTTTCGCCATGTGCGTATAAAAACAAAGGCACTGCGCATGCGCGTTTTACCCATATTCTATCGCGATATTTCATTTTCTTGTCGTTGCCCAACATTATACCGGTATTACCGTGAACGGTATGATATGGCCCAGCCCTACCCTCAACCTTAATACTGCTCGCTATAAAAATGTATCCGTACGCACAGAGCATCGATGGAGGCCTCACCTCGTGTCACAGGTCTTGTGAAATAAAGGCCTCTGACAGGTCAGAGTTGTGTTTGGTGGCACAAAGCAGATGTGGACTCATCAGGTAGATTTAAGTCACAGATCCTTTTCACAGCTGGTGTTTTGATGCTTCAAAGCAAGAAAATTAATGAGGACTTCATTAAGTGAGCCACCTTCAGGGTCCTGGCATTGTTCATGTTGGCTCGCAGATTTACCAAGACACTAAAAGAGGTACTTTTGTATTTGTATCCAGCTCCATATTGATATTGTTGGACTCTTGATGTTGATGGAAGGATGAGAAACATTCTGAAGTTTATTCTTCAGGTCCAGCAGGTGGAGCCAGAGATTACAGATGCCCTCCTAATTGGTATATTACATTTAGTGATGATGACTGAAACTTCTTGCGAATATTTGGACTGTTTGTTAAAGAAGGAAGGTGGTTTATTCTTTAGTTTCTACTACAGAGCTGAGGCTGGCAGTGAACACAAGGCTGTAAGTCATCAGAGCAGAGTAGATGTTGGAAATGACTGCCAAGAGGTTCGGTGTGTGAGACAAGTCCAAGAAAAATCAGGATCTCAGCGTATAAATCAGCTGTGTGTCAAATCAGAGGCTCCATATATTACCAAAATAGCACAATCCAGTGTAAACCTTTCTTCTTTGAGAAATAACGTGCTGCTTTCTTCTTATAATTATGACAAGCTGTCTACAGTGAATCACTTACATGTGCTGGATACATATTTGTGAGTATATGCGCTTTACCTGCTGAAGAAGTGCAGCACTGGGGAATAAATACAGTAATTACACAGTAACGGCCTCCCTCTGTGGTCATCTATTATTTATGTCTTAACAAAATGTCACAGAGGGCTTTCAGGTAGCTAAACAATCTGTCCGTGTGGTGAGAGTTACAAATTTTAAACGGCGTTTAAAGGTCACGGCCAGGTTTTCACAGTGTGCCCGTTTCTGTACCACTGTCTGTAGGGCAGCACTGTTTGGGCGTTTCCGGTCCTGGCTCGGGGAGGTTCTGGGGGTTGAGCTGGAGCCCACCGTGGATATTTCTTGTGCCAAATATGAATATACAGGTGAGATTAGCTCAGTAGGAAAACTGTTACATTGTGAGTTTCTGTTTTAGTTATTGTCTGTCTGTCTTCTTTCTAGATGTTCTTTTGTGCCACGATGATGAGTTGGAAGGGAGGCGCGTTGCGTTCATTTTGTATCTTGTGCCCCCGTGGCAGAGCAGCGACGGGGGAACCCTCGATCTTTACACAACAGACAGTGAGTGTCCCACTGTGTTTGCATGTGCGCGCGCGCGCGTGTGTATTCTCTTACACAACAGAAGTGTGTATTTCCTTTTTGTCGTCAGGTTATTTGCAGCCACAGAGCATAGTGAAGTCACTTGTACCCTCCTGGAACACACTCGTGCTCTTTGAAGTTTCTCCAGTTTCCTTTCACCAAGTAAGGATAAATATTCTTGTTTTTACTATTTCTTTGAAAAGGCTGCGTTTGGAAATTACACTGTTTGGGGTTTCTTTTTTTCTTTAGGTGTCTGAAGTTTTGTCGCAGGACAAATGTCGGCTGTCTCTGAGTGGCTGGTTTCACGGACCTTCTCTGGAACGTCCTCCTCGCCACACAGTGGCTCCCGTCCAGAGAAATCCACACTTACCGAGAGATGTGGGTGCTATCTTGTGGGAATATCTCAAAACATTTCGGAAGAAGAATTTTATATACGTTTTGTTTGATAAATATAACATATAATTTGCATGATTCTCAATCAATTTACAGCTGGAGGCATTTGTTAGCTTAGCTCAGCATAAAGACTAAGAGCAACCCATCTGGTGCCAACAATCATGCCACGTTCAAAGTCACTTGAATCACCACTTTTCGACTATTCGGATTCTTAGTTTGAAATTCAGCAGGTTGTCTTTGCCATGTTTACATGCCTCCATTGACTTGCATTAACGAGCAGTTGAGCTGGTGCACCTAGTGGCTTGTGAGTGTACCTTATAGTGTTATGAGAGCTCTGTATGCAAATCTAGCTATCTCCAGGCTCCAGTGTAAGCTTTTTTTAATCAGTTGTGAGCATCAGTTGATTTCTTATAATGTCAGATTGTTCCTCTCTTGGACAGCCTCCTTGCCAGCTCATGTGTTTGCTGTTTGTGTTCGTGGCAGGAAACGGTGCTGCTGGAGTGGATCAATCCCATCTATTTGGACATTTCTTATCAAGAGCAGATTCAGGAGGACTTTGAAGACAGCTCTGAAATTCAGCTCAAAGGATTTCTCAAGGTAACTTCTAAAAACTCTTTTCCGCCGACGCAGTACTGCAGCTTTTTTATTCAGAACGGTTTCCGGACATTGCACCATAGAAATGCAATTCCCAAAGCTGGAAATTCTTATTCACAGATGATTTGCAGATGAAGCACGCATGATTTTTTTTTCCACACAGAAAGTACCTCAGCTTTAGCTACACAACACTGAGTAATGAGGTAATTTCCAAGTATCCAGTGTGTACTGCTTTTCAAAAAGGCATCAGAGCAGAGCTGGCACTGGTGTCGTGTCTTTCCCGTGTTCATTTGTTTCCGCTGAGTGATTATGCGTTTGTCTTCAGGAGGAGAAGTTCAAAGAGGTGAGTGAAGCACTTCGGCTCTCTCAGATTGAGTGGAAGAAGAAAGGTCCACCCAATAAGAAGTGAGTATGTTTGACTCTTTAAAGTAGCACTCTGTATTTAAGATTGGCTAATAACCTGTGTGCTTTCAGGTGCTACGAAGCTGCTGCTCTGGACTCGCTGCCTCAGTGTGTGAGTGCATGCTGGGAGCTGCTTCATTCAGAAGCGTTCTTCCTGCTCCTCTCCAACTTCACTGGCCTTCGATTGCACTATCTCTGCCCGGCTGACGACGAAGAGAATGGCGATGAAGAGAAGGATAAAAAGCAACAAGATGATGGAGAAGCCACGGGGTCGTCAAATGAACCATCCTCAGCAGATGCGAGCAGAGAGAAAGGTGTGCATCGCTGTGAGTGCTTTCATTCAGCCGCCGCCGCTGCTGCTGTTCGTGTGTTTTGACCTCTGTGTATTTTCAGAGCCGAGCACCCCTTTGTGCTGTGGGGAAGTACGTCGATGGTCTCATGGCGGCTACACCCTGTTGCACGATGGAGAGGCAGCGCGGGCAGAATATGCGCTGGACCTCGTTTTGCCTTTCGGCTGTGCCGGTGAGTTCACACCCAGCAGAAGAACGAACTGTCGGACATGAGTGTGACTGTACTGAACTTTTAATTCTCTCTCATAGGCTGGCAGTCAGAGTTTGGCGGCTTCACATGTTATGTCGCTAATGAAGAGGATGAGGAGGTGAGTGCTGATTAATGTGACGTGTAATCGCACATGTGCGGATGTTGCTTCGGCAGTCATCATCATCGCTTTCTTTCTTCACAGCTTCTGACTGTCTACCCAGAGGACAATTCCCTCGCACTCGTCTACAGAGACAAAGAGACTCTCAAGTTTGTCAAACACGTCAACCATAAAAGCACCTCTGAGCCTGATGGCAGCTCCACCTGCAGAGAGTTTTATGACTTTTCTTTTGTCTACTATGAATAAATATGTATATAAATACATAAGAGTGTGTGTGTGTGTGTGTGTGTGTGTGTGGGGGGGCATTTACACTGGCAGATGAACTCCACTCACTCCTCTCACTTGGAAATATATAGGGATGGAGTCTTGGTTGGATCTAACCACCAATGATGGGCAACATGCTGTGTAATGCCAACCAAAGCTACTTTGACTTGTGCGATGTTACTGACACTTCAGTTTTTTAGTTATTCCAAGAAGGGGGAAAAAACCTTTTTTTAAATGTGTATTTTTAGGCTTTTTAGTCATTATTGCAATAGGACAGTGGAGAGAGGACAGAAAAGCTGGGAAAAAGACATGCACAAAACTACCTTGGTGTAACCAAGTAACTTGGTGTAACTTGGTTTTAACCCAGGCCTCTGTAATAGTCTTATGGTATAGGGGTCACCTTAAAAAAGTTACTTATATTATTTGTTAAAGTTGTAGAAATCTGGAAAAGGATGAAAATGGCTCTCCTTGCTATATTCAGAGCCAGTCCCCAGCACAGCGTATGCACCTGGGCTGCATTCAGGCCTAACAAAACTTGACAAAAACTCTTTTTTTTTTAAAATAGAAAAGCTGTAGTTATGATGGCGCTACCGCGTCTGAAAAGTAATGCCAACTTGTGTCTTAAACCTGCATTCTTTCTAATGGTCAGCAGGGGGCGACTCCTCTGCTTCCAAGAAGGCTTCAGGTTGTATTCACATTTATGAGACAAAGACCCTCGCCCCCCCTCACTCTGTGACCTCAGTAAACGCTTTTATGTGCTCAGTTGCTATTTTCAGGTCATACAGAATGAAACATGAAGTTCATCTTGTGAATTATGGTCATTATTAGAGTTATAAAGGAGCATAATCCAGCAAGCATACCATGCTAGCTGGCAGGGTATTAACAAGCATACCAACTTCTTAATCACAAGTTGTGATTGTGCAGTAACCCTCATTTTGACAGTTAAATCCACCATGTGCTTGTTTCGAAAATGGTTCAAAAATAGCAAGACGGCGACTGTGAAAATGCTCATCTTGAGGCTTCAGGACGGGAATTCACAAAACCAACACATGGCATCAGAGTGCCTTTATCAATCTTTTATACTGTTTATGTATCCATGCTGTTATACTTGTCAAGCATGCGGGAGCTGATTCATCTTATTCTTCCTTTTAAGTAGTGGACATCCAACATTTAGTGTTACCTTCACCTGACTGGCTAGAGTAAATGTACAAGAATCCAAATTGTAAATTTCCTGACTGAGAATCTTTGGGGGCTGTTCACTTTTGTATGTTACCTTTTTAATATGGTAGGGTTTAAATAGACTTCTGACACACGCAAAAAAATGAGATAAAACATTTATAAAAGCTCGTTGCCCAGCACTGTGCATTGCTTGAGTAAAACATTTTAAAAACATGACTAAAAATAAACTTTTCACAACGTTTTTAGATTAACTGTGTCGATTATCTGGTTTTATCTGATCTTATTATCTGTGGCCTGCCTGTGCCTGGAAGAGGAGTACCACTCTGGTTCCTTGGAACTTGCTAAAAGGGATATTTTAGATTATTGTTTTTTTTTTACCCTAATGATGCCAAAAAGAAGAACAAGTTGCAGTTCTGTGTAAAAGCCACCATTTATTTACAACACAGGAAATCATTCCTGTACAACTCCTCCATCTAATACACAGTACACACTGCAATAGTTACACCCTTTTGCACATGTTCTACAGTAAAATAACAAATGACAAAGTTTCACGGGTTAGAGTTAAATGTCAATCATATATATTTCACCTCTGTAATATTCTTGATATTTATAATTGAGCGATTTGTATATACTCGTGCTATATCTTAAATTTGTAAACTTTGTAATATATTGTATTATTTAATTCGTTTAGTCTGTTACTGTTATTGTCTTGGAGCAACTGTAACCCACATAATTTCCTTAGGAATTATTAAAGTATTCTGATTCTGATTATCATTTCTTTAACTAGCCTTCAGGAATAGTTCTCCAGGCTTCTTGATGGACTTTCAAAGCCATTTTGTTTGATCCCACACTGCTTCAATTCACTGCTTCAAGGTTGAAGTCTGGGCTCTGTGGAAGCCAGTCCATTACTGATAGTGTTCCACTGTGTGCGTTTACTATACAAGTATGCTTTTACTGCATCCGCAGTGTGTTTGGGATCATGCAGAAAAATGAAGATGCTGCCAATCAGATGCTTTCAAGATAATGTTGCATGGTGGATCAAAATGTGCTGGTACTTTTCTGCATTCATAATTCCACCAATTTTAACAAGATCTCCAACACCACTGGCTAAAATACAGTCCCAAACCATGACAGAGCCTCTACCAGCCATTGTTCTAATGCATTCCTGACCTCCTCCATACATAATGATGACCATTTGTATAAAAACAACTGAAATTTGGATTGATCTCCTCAAGACCTGTTGTTGCTGATTTTCAGTATTTATCCTCCACTTGCTCAGTTTCTCCACACTGCACACACTACACATCATATTGACATACACCAAGTTTTTATCTGTCCTTGGTGGTGCAAAAATATGATTTTATGACTGTCAAACTGTGCTATCTTTGATATTTTTAAAGAATCAAGAAATGGAAAGAAATATGTTTGTGACAGGCTGCTGGTAACAAACTACCAATAAATATAATTTCAAATGGGTTCTTTGCTAAAACTATTTCATCCCTTGAGTTAGATGTCGTTTTTATATTTGAATGATTCATAGGTCAGTGTTAAGCAACTTAACAAAACAAAAAATAAACAAAAAAGACCTTCAAAAAGCCCAGAAAACTGTTCCTCAAGACCACTAAAAAATACAAGAAAGTATAACTCCTTGAGGTCTTGAAGGCCTTCTACCCCTTTGCTTGCCATAATGTGTGCCACAAGGCTCAGTTTGCGGGCCTTGGTTGTTTTTGTTATACCTGCTCGATCTTCAACACATTTTGAATGCTTTTAAGGACATTCCTTATCACTGTTATGCAGATGACATTCTGTTATATACCTCTTAAGCCCCAATGTGTTTCTAAGTTACAGAGATTGCATAGGTGCATAGACTCTTTTAGAAGCTTGATGACTGACAATTTTATCCAACTTATTGAAGAAAAACATGAATCCTTGTTTGTGCCCCTGGCAGATTTGTGTCTAAAATATTGGAAACTATGCCACATTTATTAAATCTTTTATTAGGAACCCTGGGGCAACTTTTGATGCAGCTTTCACTTTAGATGTTCACATTAAATCTCTGGTTCACTCTTCAATAGTGTCATGCACTAAGTTGTAAATTAATATTCATGCATTTATATCATTGCATCTGAATGATAGGAATTCCTTGTTCTGTTGGCTTAACAAAGCTTCTTTGTTCGCCACTGCAAAAGTGTTTGAAGTACCGACACGTCTCACTGTTACCAATTTAGTTATGTGTTGAGTGTTTCATGGACAAACATTAGTCTAGATCAGTAAACTTCCATACATCCATACATCTTCAGCAGGTTCTAGACATCATGTGATCATGGTGAGTACTAAAGGAGACAGAGTTTTTGCAGCAGTGGTGCTCAGACTCTCCCACTGAGCCTGAGATCCTCCAGACTCTGTGGTGTTCATTAAAAAGCAGTTAAAAACTCACTTTTTTTTAGACTTGCTGTAACTTGGTTACATTTTTGTCTTCATGTTTTGATTATTTTGTTGTTATATTTATCTTAAAATAATATTTTCTTACTATACAAAATATAATGAGCTGTTGGCTCAAGACTTTTGCACAGGACTATATACATTCAGATTTAGTTGTGTTAGGCTAAAAGTCCCCAAAAAACAAATATATTTAAACAAAATAAAACTTAAAAGCTGAAGCCAGCAGATATATTTGTTCATAAATGACATAAAAGTTCCATTTGATTAATGTTTTTGATTAGATTTCTTAGATCAGTTTCACCTGTGTCTAAATTTCCGGGAAACCTTTGCACCCCTGCATCGTTTTTGTCTGTCAGTGTGACTATGCAAATATGCCTAGTGCATTGTTTTGGTTTTCCCCAGCAGCTGTTTAAATCTGTTAACACACAAAAACCCAGCGAACACAGTAAGAAATTAGACTCGTCAAAGAGCCGGTAAAGTGTTTCAGTGTTTTGGTTCAGGTTTATATTTATGATTAAATGCTAGATGTAATTGTTCGTAACGGGATTCGTTGAACTTCATATGAACGTTTACGTTAAAATGAAAAAAAAAAAAAAAAAAACCTCACACACACAAAAAAACACTTCCTTCCCGTCACGATTTTCCTCGTTGATTTCCACCAATCAGAACGCAGCTTGATTGCTGCTCACCCAATGGGAAGCCAGGAAGCTCATACTGTCCGTGTGATTCCACAGAAGGAAGCGTTACCAAACACTTTAACAAAGTTTTAAGGTAAGTTTGAGCCGAGCTTGTCAAAGTGTTACTTCACGGTGAATCAAAGGACCTCCTAGGCAGAAACTAGGCGTGTGGGCTTCCCGAGGCTTTGGGCCGCTTCAGCGGCGTGGCTGCTCGTAGCTTTACGGTAGCTCTATCTATTCTGCGTGACATTTCTCACAGTAACCTCCATCCCTTTCAGTATAAGGCACTGACATTTTAAAACGGAATAGCTATCTTTGCGGTGTTCTGACTCAAACCAATGCAGCTGTCAAACTGTAAAGGTAATCAGCTAGCTCACCTGTACGTACGTGTCGCATAGCAACCACGTCCCCTAGTTTTAAGTTGGACAACAGTTATAGCTTTGACATTAAAGTTACATAGTCTATAATTTGAGTAAACTCTGGGTGTGTTTTCTGTTGTTTCTGTAAGGCTTAATTTATGATGAGTTTATAAGCTGTAATCGAAGGTTTTGTTGTTACTTTAAGCTAGGAAACATAGAAATGTAATAAAATATCCTCAGATAGCAACATTTGTTAATATTTTTGCTTATAATTCAGTGGATCTCGAACTTTTTCAGGCTTGCCTGACTTTATAAGTCAAAGCTCAAGTGGTAATCGTGATGTACGTATTTATTATACACTTAACTATGACTTTATTGGATACACCTGTTCTTAACACAAATATCTAATCAACCAATCACATGGCCTTGTTGATGCTAGAGGCGAATGGGGAGACTGCTTTGAGCTCATAGGAAATTAACAACAACTGAAATAACCACTAGTTACAACAAAGGTATGCTGGAGAGCATCTATGAAAACATAGCACATCCAACTTGGAAGCAAATAGGCTGCAGCTGCACAAGACCATACCAGCAGCAGAGGGCACAGCGAGTGCCACCCTAGCTACGATCAGGAGACCGAGGCCACAGTTCACAGGGGCTCAACAAACCTGAACAATAGAAGATCGGGGGGGAAACATTGCCTGCTCTGATGAGTCTTGTTTTCTGCTCCAACATTCAGATGGTAGGGTCAGAATTTGACATAAAAGCATGGATCCATGGCTCAGGCTGCTGGTGTAGGAACCATTATTTTTAAGTCAGCTTCATTCCACATGTTTACCCAGGTCATCCATACTCGACTTATAGTAGAAGTGCTAGTCATATTCGATGTACAGGTGGATAAATAACTTATTCACAACTAGCCTCCTGTTGTTAATGTAAGTTTGAGTTAGTTCAGATGTGCTAAATGTCATTTTCAGAGATGAACCCCTCACACATTGCGTTGTGTCTCCTTAATTAGAATGTTCTAACTTGAAACACAAGAAGAGGTGAAGAGGGTTTTCTGATACCATGGCAGCCCAAAATAAAAGGAATCTAAGGCTAAATTGAAAAATAAATTGATAACTGTTTTAACGACATTGGAAATAATGTGATCTGATCTTCTAAGTCAAAATAAGATGAAAACAAAATCTGAATAAACTGAAAACATTTTTGTGTCCTTTATGAACAGCTAGATAACAAACAGTGAAGGTGGAAAATAACAAATGAACTCTTGAAATTAGTAACTGAAACAGCCGCCTTCAGCAGCCGCGACCTCTGTCAGATGCTTCCTGTAGCAGTTTTTAGAGGCATTCATGATGAAGAGGAGGAATTTCAGATTGTGTTTGGTGTGTTATTAGTCATAGTGTGCTTTTTTCCATATAATATTTTGCTGGGAATCAATTCAGAAACCTCAGATATTCCAGAGGAGTTAAATGTTTTTTCTTGCCCCTTAATTCATTACTTACAGTTTACAAACTGTTTATAAACGTGCCTGAGCAAAAATAGTCTGCAAACAAAGTTTATGGTTAACTGAAATGGTTTTGGAAGACCTGCCAAGTTAAGGTGATCAAAAACACAAGTCACTTCTTATGCGTCTGCATGCAAAACGTGCTCCTCTTATTCATACTGACTGTAAAGAGGAGCCTTCCCAACATGTAAGGCCTCAGGTTTCCCAAACTTCTGCTGAGGAAAATTTGTCCTCTCTAACCAGCAGTTCACTGAAGAAACAAGTCAAACTGAACTTGAAACTTAAAAACACTGTAACCTCGGAAAAACCCACTTGATTTAATCACAGAATGCTGAAGCATCGGATGATGAATGACCACAAAGGCTCTGATTTTGCCACCCACTTCTCACAAGGTGAAACCTCTGAATTTTGACAGAGTCAGTTCATTTTTATATCTCTGGATGGTCAGATCACACTGTTACTGTTAAAACTACTTTAAGGAAAGGATCTTTCAGATATGAGGAATCAATATTTCTAGCTGTAGCTGTTTTCCATCAATATTCAGTTGTGTAAATAGCACCTAGTACATCCTCTGGAAACTGGGCTTTTCTTTTTGACGAGCAAACCTCTGATCTTTGATACAGTGACTACAGATAAAGGTCGCATGCTTCACCACATCATTCATTTGTGTGAATTACGTAATTATGCCCTCAGCCACAAAAGCTTGTGTTGTCCACCTTAGCAGGAATAATGAATTTTTTCCACTGGTGTTTCACATTGGGTTGCAAATTTTTGACCCCTCTTCCTTCATGTCCATCAGTTGAAAGATGTTTGAGGGTTTTCCTGCATGTAACAAGTCTTACCTTCACAGGAACAATAACCCTCCCTTTCCTGCCTCTCAGGTCTTCCTTTGTGGATTTGTTGGTGTGCTGAGGATTATTATCATGGGAGGTGATTTGGGGTTTAATATATTGCCAAAGAACACCACAGAATGGACATGCCAAGGATTTAACTACTGGTTGTTGACACTTGAGTCACAGATGTTCCCCCCAGGCTGACATAACCATGTAGGGATGGTCTTTTCCTGACAATAAAGACCTTTTTCTTGCATGACTCCCACACAGGTGTGGCAGACACTTGCAACAGAGTTACCTGCAGACCCTGTGATCACATTTTTCAAGGTTTTTTTTAGACCAAAAAAAAAAAGAAGAAGAATTTGTGGTCATTTTAAATCTCTTGCCAGACTTGACATCAGATAAATGATATATGGCATGGCGTCACCATGTAGTTGGCATGTTTTGTTTTCCAACAGAGAGCTTTACTAAAAATGCTAGAAGTGTACCTTAATGCTGTGTGATCATAAGGATATGATGATTTATAGGGATGATTAAACAAATTATTAGCCCTGTGTCAGTTATTCTTATATTTATGTATGGATTGAAGTGAGTAGATGTTAAAAAGCTACATTTATAATTGAAAATGATAATTTGCAAACTTAGTCAGGGGGAATTACGAAATGTTTTCTGCTTATGTTTTTCAAATGTGAGGACTTTCCATTTTTACCCTTTTATGTCATCTGAATTTATTGTTCGTATTTTTTTGGACTGGACAAAATGAGCCATTTTTGAATTCGTTTGATTCATGCTTCTGAATCAATTTTTTTTTTTTTTTGTTACAAACACCAAACAAGCTCTCCAGGAAATACTAGAGGTTGGCTTTTGGCAGCAAAGGATGAATTATATATTTTAAGCTCCCGATGATCACTTAATCCTCATCCAGCTGCTAAACTAATCTCACAGTATACTTCCAGTGTACCAGTTGATAGGATAGCAAATAATTACATACTGCCTAAGTCGTTTCCTGTACACCTAGACGCCAAGCATACTGTGATTCAGTAAAATGCGAGGACGTGCACCTAATCCAGCTCAGAGGTTCCTCTTTCCCTGCAGAGCGCTCCAAGTCAGGATGCATAGAGACAGTACCAGCAGGTTTCAGCGGTTCATCCAGGGCACAGGAGTCAGGGGCTGGAGTGGGGGAGGGGAGGGATGAGATTAAACATGTTTTTATGTAATGAGGGTTTCAGAAGGGAGCTGGGGTAAAAAAGGTGGAGTGAGGCCAGAAACATGGTGGATGTATTTTGGCTGCCATGGGTTGGGGCGGTTAAGTCAGCAGAGGTGATACGGTTTATTATCCCATCACTCTGAGTGAACACGATTAGAAACTGAATCTCCTGTTTCAGATAAAATGAGACGTAGAATTAATGACCACTGATCAAAAATTTAGAGCCTGAATTTGAGATGACGTACGTCTCTCACCACATGTTTTTATTACCTGCTGACGGTGGAGGAACAGTGATTTACACTGGGTTCAAACCTCATGCTGTGCTGGAGCCTTTCTGTGGAGTTTCATATTCCCTACATCTTCATGGGTTTCTTCTGCATGCTCCGGTTTCACCACACAGTCCAAAGACATGCGTGTTTGAGTAATAGTTGGTGTATAGTATATAGTGGGTGGGGGACGTGGACACCCAAGTTTGTTGGGCGATAACGTGATAACTCAAGAACGAAGCAATGGTCTGATACAGCTGGTGTATCTATTAAAAATCTCTGGTGAGTTTGAATCTCATTGACCGTGATCTCAAAGTTAGAGGTCAGTTTTGAAATTGAAAGCTTGAAATTGAAATAGGTGCATCTGCTAGGAGGCTGAGCTGCTGCTGTCAGTATTTTTTTTAATTATCTGTGAGTAAGTGTGGATGTCCGTCTCCAAATGTTAGCCCTGTGATGGATTGATCCAGGGTTCACCTTGCCTCTTACCTTGAACCAGTTAAAAAAAATCTATATCCAAAAATGTAGTTAAATGTTTAAATAACACAACAAAACCCAGAAACATTACATTTAAGACAAGAGAAATAAGAGAAAAGGAGAAAATCCTCAAATTTAACAAACAAGCAAACCTACAAACAGGTGATAGAGTAGGGTTCACTGTCTTATTTGTTATGCTAGTGCAAGAAATTGAATATCATTCATGTAATTGCATTTAAAAAAGTAAACTTCCATGTATTCTGTATTCATTACACAAAGCAAATTATTTCAAGACGTGTTTTTGATTAAATTCAGTTGATTATGGTTTATAGCTCATGTAGTGGAATATTGTAGAATATTTAATTTGGATTTCACAGTATATATACACTCTGTTAACCACGTGGTCAAGCACAATGATTAGGAAAAATGCTGAGTTGACAGTTGTCCAGTCGATCATCAACACCCTCCTCACGGAGGATAAGCCATAGAGAGTCATTGCTGTATTGAAGCATATAAATAGAAAGTTGACTGGAAGAATGAAGAGTATTGTAAAATTTGCACCACAATGACAGAAGACTTGAGAGGATTGTAGAGGGGAAAAAAGTGGATTGAAGAACTTGAGAGAATTTCACAAGGAGTGGACAGAGCCTGGTGTCAGTGCATCAAGAGCCACCACATACAGACGTCTTCAGCCAAAAGTAAAACTTGCATTTGATTTGGAAATCAAGGTCCTGGATATGTGAGAAAGAGTGGAGAATCCAACGTGTTCAGTGTGAAGTTTCCACAGTCTGTGACAATTTAGGGTGCCATTTCATCTGCTGCTGCTGGTGGTGGTCAACACAGTCGTCTACCAGGAGACTTTAGAGCACTTTATCAATCCATCTGCTAACAACCTTTATAGTGATGTCAATTTCCTTTCCCAGCACCACTTAGGACCTGTCCACAGCGATAAAACTACCACCAAATGGTTTGCTGGCCATGTTTTCACCCTGCTGCATTTACCAGCCAACTCACTTGACCCTAACTCCCACCGCAAGAAATCTACAAACTAGACGAAAAATACCCAAAACCAAATACAGACAAGCTGAAGGCCACAATCAAAGCAACCTAGGCTTCAGTAACACCTCAGCAGTGCTACAAGCTGATCGGTTTCATGCCACATTACTGCACTTATGCAGTAATTAGTGGCAAAGGAGCTCAAACCAAGTATCAAGTGTATAAACATGCGGATGTTTCCTTTGTTAATCCTTTTTATTCCCATTGATCTCGGCAAATATTTTACTAATCTCAGATACTTGATTTCATGAACCATACATTAAAATCAATGAAGTTAAAGCAAAAACAAAGCTTGAAATATTTCACTTTATATTTGATGAATATACAATATATGAAAGTGTACCTTTCTGCATTAATTGTCTCAAGTAGTGTTCAGAGAATGGCGGACAAGACTGTGGATGGAGGTCAATGGACGGGATGCGCAGTCATGTTTCTGCAGTCGCTGTGTCCCGGTGTGAACCTGCTCTCTCTCTACAAAGACCCACAGGGAAAGTTCATCATTTTCAAAGTCATCAAGCTGACACTTACAGGTGAGCCCTCGGTTAGGCATTTCTCATACTGCATGCTCATTAAAATAGAAAAAACCTCTTGTAGGATTTACCTTGATTAATCATAGTCTTCCACTGTTAAGACTCTGCTGGAGGCCTGGGTACATTTGAGATCCTAAAGGTCCATGATGCGGATCCCTTCCTGGGGGTGGAGGTCAAGTTTGTGAATGTGGCAGCATGTCATCAGTTCCTGGAGAGCTACAGCTCTGGAGCGGTGAGGCAGTATCTCTGCCAGCACGCCTGCCGGCTGCTCGCTCTGTCCCAGGAGTTAACTGTGGAAACCCAGCTCAAGGCAGGCACTCATACTCTGGATCGGTGTCTGGACAAGCTGGATCTTTGCCTACAGCACATCCACCTGTCACAGGTAAGGTTGATGTTCCTGTTAAACTGTTCTCCAGTGATTTTAAAGAGGCAAAAAGATTTTAAAAGTAGATCTCATTTCACCTCATCGTGCCTGACACTGGCCGATTTCTAATGGGATTTTTTCTTGCAAGGTAATTTAGCTGCAATGTGAAACCTTTTCACAAAGATTCACACAAGCAGGTTTGTCATAATCATACCTGTTCCTGAAAGCTAACAGCCACACTCTCTCAGTGACAGTTCAGCCTGATCACTCGTTAGAGTTTCACACAGCCAACTGTTGGGAGCAGTTGAGTTTGAGGAGAGGGAGACAAGACAAAAGACACACTGTGGAAGAGAGCCAGAGATTTAATAATAACTAATGATTAAATGCAGAGAGGTGTCAAAACATACAGTGAGTGAAAAGAGACCAGAATGAGGAACACTGCTTCACGGGAAGCCCCCAGGAGTCTAAACCTGCAACATAACTAAGAGGGCATTCAGGGATCACCTGATCCATCCGTAGCTATTTGCTTTACCAAGAAGGAAAGTTCTAACCCTAATCTTAAAAGTAGAGAGGGTTTCTGTCTCCTGAATCCAAACTGGGAGGCTGAAGGCTCTGCCTCCGATTCTGCTTTTAAATACTCTGGGAATCGCAAGTAAGCCCGCTGTCTGAGAGCAAAGTGCTCTAATGGGGTGATATGCTACTATGAGGTCATTAACATGGGGGTGATTATTCAAGACCTTGTATGTGAGGAGCAGGATTTTAAATTTGATTCTACCAGAGAGCCAAAGAAGAGAAGCCAATATGGGAAATATCCTCTCTCTTTCTAGTTCCTGTGAGTACTTGCTCTGCAGCATTTTGGATCCACTGAAAATGTAACCACAAAATTTAGCATTTTGAAACAAATAATCTTCTGTTTTTGCCAAATTTAAGCCATGGCCCTTTATTGTAGTCACTATGGCCTTCGGAGAGTGTGCCCACTTTGACGTTCTCATTTATTTTTATTCTGAGTGATTTCTGCCATTTTGTGCCTTTCAGCCGGAGCGCCTGCGCGATGAGGAGATCGATGAGCTCGAGCAGCAGCTGCAGAGTCAGGCCCGCGGTCCTGCCTCACAGTCCGTCACCATCATGCAGGAAGAGTCTCCCGTTCCCAGCAACTGCTTCAAGTTTCAGAACAGAGTGTTTGGTGAGTCGAGACGGTCCTTGTTACTAGTCGTGTGTGTGGTGTGCTGTCCACAGTACATTATTTAGATATTCTCTGTAATTTAACTATCGAGGATGGTCGTTCATTTACAAATGGTGGGTTTATTGCCATCTCCTCGTTCTCCTCATGTGTCTGCAAAAACATTTTTTTTTAAATTCAAGAAGCTGACAGAACTTTGTTGATTGACTTTTTTTTTCTCGACAGCACATGAATTCAATACTGTTTCAGATGACTCCCTAATCCAGTCAGTCAGTGGGAAGAGATTAATGACTGCAGATAATGTATTTGGTTTTCATACTTGGACTGATTTCATATTGGGTCAACTAAAATTTGAATTAATAAAAATGCAGGAGATTTGGTGGCTGCCAAACAACTGAAATTAAACACCCAGTGACACATTAAAGCTCTCCTGGGGTTTGTAAATTGATGTTGGTGGTCTTGATGGGGAAAAAGGAAAGTGTGAAAGTACAACAGCAGGGATTTTTGTTAATGAACTGACTGGTCTTTATTAATTGCACCTGATTTTTCAGTACTTTTGATCATGCAAGTGCACAACTTTAAAGCTGCTCTGATCAGTTTTTTCCATACGAACAATCAGATTATACAGCTCACAGGCTATTCGCTGACTTTGCCTGTTTGTTGTTTGGTGCTTAGCAAGTAGTGTTTGCTGCTTGAGACCAGCTGCTTGCTGAAGCAGTGAGCCAGAAAACCAAACCAGTGAACTTAAAGGTGCTAAGTGCGATATGCACTTCAGGAGGTAGTGAAGACATAAAGCTTAAGCTAAGTTAAGATGAACTTTAGACTTGTTAGGACATTGGTCAGCTGGGTAGCACTGTTGCCTCACAGTGAGTAGTCCTGGGTTCAAATCCACCGGTCCAGCTCTCCAGATAGCCTGGAGAGGTAGCCTATCTCCCTATGACAGCTGGGATAGGCTCCAGACTCAGATCTCCCTGAATTATAGAAGCGGTTAGGAAAATGAATGAATTTTAGTCTCCAGATGTTTGCTAGTGTTGCTGTGTAACTGTTGAATGTCTAAAGAGCAACTTGCCCACATGGAATAGTTGTAGTTGTGTCAGGTAAAATGCGTGTTTACAGGTGGTATCACTGTCCCCATCTGGCTGAAAATTACTCATTAAAGCTGTTTTATAATCTTAAAGCACATGAAACGAATGAATATGCAGAATCTGCAGCTACAGCTGGCAAAAGGACAGTGCAGTATTAAAGTATGAAAGTCCTGTCGGTGTACATTAAAATTAAACAGTGTGGGGGTGCATCCACTTGAGCTTTTTTCCAGCCGTATGCAATCGGAGCTCTATGTATGTAGAAAAGGGATTTATTAAATGTCCACAGGGAGGTCATACAAGTTCAGGGGTCTTAAACGTTTGCTGGGTGTACCACCAGCAGTGTCATGATACATGACTGGCAGATGCTCTGCCTCTCTTCTAGCCTCACAACTGGATGAGCCCTTCTTGTTGACTCCTTGCTCCTGGATTTAAAAGTGGACCAACATGGCTAAATTTCACTTACCTATTAGAAACATGGTTTACATGTTTCGAAAAAATCTGAAGCTTGAAAATAAATGTGATCTTAATTTTACAGATGTTTACAGGAGTTTCCAGAGGTGCTGAGTGTCCCTTATGTGTGGCCCTTTATATAAAACAGCAGCCAAACTGACATCAACACTAAATGAGAAGCAAGGAATTAATAATGCATCATGTACACAAGTCCTATTGGTGTTTAAGTTTGGGTTGAAAGCTGCAGCCTTTAGCTTTTCTCATAGTCATACACTCATAGTGGGGGATGACTGGACATCAGTGGAGAAGGTAACACTGCTGGTCTGAGGATTCAGGTGTGCACTTACTCCTGGAAAACTACAGTATTAATTTGAAATACTGTAGTTTTGATTATATGACTATTTAGTTTGCTGTACTAGAGTCAGGTACTATTATTTGCTTAGAGCTCCCTCCCAAGGTGCTCTCACCTGGACATTTTTAGAAAAGCATTTGGAGTTATCAGCTGAAAAGAAACACTACATCAGAAGAGTCAAATGTGTGATTGAAGCAGCCTGCTAAAGACTTTCAGTAAATTCTTTTAAAACTCAAATTTTTTGATAAATTGAAATGTGATTCTTCACGTAGTGATGCTGGGATTACTACGCGGAAGTGGAAAAGTTTGGGAAGTGAAAATGTATTTGTAGATTTTGAAAAGTTGTGAGGGTTTAGTGACTTTCTAAATCCACAGGCTTCCCACCACCATTCAAAAAAAAAAGCACATTAGGTTTATTGGTGATTCTAAATTGCCCATTGGTGTGAATGAGAGTGGGAATAGTTGAGCGACAAGTGACCTGTCCAGGGGGCACCCCGCCTCCACCCTGTGACAGCTTGGCTCCATTGCCTCTGCAGCTGTGAATTGGATAAGCAGTTAAAAAGATGGATTGGTGGACTCTGTTTATGTGGAAACATGGAGAGACGCATAGATTATTTTTGTCATTTGGTGTATAAATACATTTCTTATTAAATGAGCAGTGTTTTTTTGTTTTTGTTTTTTTTTGAGAAAGTGCTCATTTCTGTTGTCTGGCTGTGTTTTGTTTTGTTGTTTTTGTTTTTTTAGTGGAGTGGGATGATGGGTGTCTTTCCTTTAGCTTTATGGTTCCAGCTATTATTAAAATCTTGACTCTCGCTCAGGTTTTTATACCTCAGAGATGGAAACATTTGAGGAGTTTTTTTTTTTTTTTTTTTTTTTTTTATATATATACATTATTATGTAATGGTTTTAGAGTTCGGCTCACTGTCATCCGTGAACTAATAGGAGTTTCGACACCCCTGCCCTAAGTTCTTCTGTGAGAGCTTGCTGTTTACATCTGTTTGTAAAACACTGTTTATGTAATCGTACTTGATTGTGGTTTACATTAATGCTTTCCCTCCATCTTTATCCTGTTGCCCCTTCAGAGGACCGAATGCTGACAGCGGCAGATGTGCAGAGCTTTTCTAACGGAGTGGGCCGTCAGTGGAAGCACGTAGGGAGGGCCTTGGGGAAGAACTGCCGCGCTCTGAAGGGCCCGGCCATAGACAACCTGGCCTACGAGTACGAGAGAGAAGGGCTGTATGAGCAAGCCTATCAGCTTCTCAGCCGCTTCATCCAGGCGGAGGGGAGGGCGGCCAAGCTGAGCCGACTGGTCAAAGCACTGGAGGACTGCAAACTCACGAGCCTGGCTGAAAATATTCTGGACCTGCAGCCGCGAGAGTAACTCTGAGTCTGAGCTGTGAAAACAGAGAAGGGGGGGCGGAGTCCTCTCTGTGCAAGGAGCAGCGACTTTGTCCTCCCTGCTTATGTTATACACACAGTGTGTTTGTTCTTCACGTCTGTCATCGACAGCATCCCATCCTTCAAATCATCCCCCGTGTGTGCGTGCGTGTAGGAGTGTGTGTGGGAGTGTGTGCGTATATTGAATGATTCATGTCTTTGCTTTTCAATTATTAGTATTATTGATAATTGTTTTCATTTAGTTGAATGATCTGTCATCACTTTTTTAAAAAATGCTGTCATGAGTTTAATGCACTGTTTAAACCGTTGTCATCATGTTTCTCCTTTTAAAGTCAATTTACAGATGGAACCTGTTGGGTCTTCTTTCTAATGAGTGCGAGACTGTTTTTTTCTCCTACAAAATGGGTGCATTCAAATTAAATGATTGAGGAACAAACAAAAAAAAAAGACAAAAAAAAACAAGCTTCATGTTTCTGTTTGATGCATTAGTGTAATTAAACCTGAAAACACCATTTTGTCAAAAGTCCCTCAGGTATAATTTAGTGTTAATCCGCCCTCCCTCTCCACCAGCACTGGCTGTCACTCACACATGTGCACATGATTGAACTGCTGATGCTGAACGTGTGTGTGTGTGTGTGTGTGTGTGTGTGTGTGTGTCACTGCTTGAGTCATGATGTGGGCGGTTCAGGGCGGATCTGAGGTAGGTGTGTGTGTTTTATCTCAGCTTGGCTGTCAAAGATGGATGGAGCTTCTACAGGTTGAGCTCCTGTGCTGGTTTCATTCAGGGTCCACTGTAAAAGAGCCCCTGACCATCCATCCAGATGTGATTTGTGGATTAGACGTGTTTATCACACACACACACACACACACACACACACACACACACACACACACACACTAATGTGATACAGACTCTTCAAATGGACATACATAGTGTCCTAAGTTAAACACACACGTCCCTGCTGCTCCAACTGCTGGTGATAGCTAGGCTGTGTCCTCAGTAATATTTTTGGGAATTTTGTGGGTTTATGGAGTACAGAGGCGTTTACTCCCGCACTGACACGATGTGGCATATGTTGATTTAAGCTGACACTGATATTGTTAATACCGTCAAGTGATTTAAATGATATGACTTTTAGGCCTGATGGAGGTTAAAAGATGAATTCAAGAAAACATTTAGATCATAATGATGGAGAATAAAATTAATCCACATAATTTTTTGTGGGTTGGGGTCAGCAGGTGAACAGGTGCGACAACAGGTCAGCCAGTTTGGATATACATATTCTTTTTTTTGTGAAGCTAAGCCGATGGGATATGTGCAGGATGTGGTTTGGTTGTGTGTTGTCGAAATCAGCAAAGACTTACCTTAAAGAGACTTCATTTGAATGGCTGTGTATGTTTGTTCCAAACCTATAAACAGGCACATGCAAAAAGAACGTTTTTACAGGACTCTGTGTCGTTCTGTGAAAAAAGAAGTAGCTACATCCCTTCTGCTTTTGTGGGAAGCAGTTTGCTGGTCTGGAGCAATCAGTTGTCCAGGTGTGGATGTCTTCAACCTGAATTTGGAGCTTTTAATTATTTCTTTGAACTGTTCTTTTTCCAGGGAGGAATGATTGTATAGAATAAATCTTTAATAACTTACAAAACAAGAATTTGGTGCTAAGAATGAGTCACAATCATACAGATTCAAATATGTACAAACACTGACTTAAAACTTTAAATAGATGGTGCTAAAGGTTCTACAATGTCTTAAAAACTGACAACACCACCGTTCATTCCCCTTAGTGATTATGATTAACTACAACTGGTAGTTTTTCTTTGCTGGCAAAAGGATTTGTTTAACAGCACTCATTGGGCTGACCAGTACTCCAAGGAAAGACCTAGGAACTCAATGAAGATCTAAGAAGGAGACTTGTAGACACACAAGTTAGGAAGGTCTCTTGGAGCCAGTTTTAAACAACTGCAGATTGCAAGATCATGAGTTCAAACTATTGTACATAAGTACAAGTTATTCTGATATGTCCTCACTTTACCAAAATCTGGCAGAAGACTCAAACTGTCACCCTCAGATGAGAGGAAATTGTTTAGGATGTTCAGGAACAACCTGGGAGCCACAAGGACTCATGCCTGCCATGAACTGAAAACTTCTGTAACAACAGGGTCTCTGTCCACAGTGAAGCCAGTTTTACATTGTCACGGACTGAAAGGGTGCTGACCAAGAAAAAAAAAAAGTCCCTGCTCTGATCACAAGAGGTATGTTTGGAGGAGGTGAGGCTTTCACTGTAGAACACTGTTCCATATGTCAGCATGGTGATGGCAGCATCGTGTTTTGGGGCTGTTTTGCTGCCACTGGTACTGGTACATTTCACTAAATAAATGGAATAATGTAAAAGGCGATTACCTCCAAATTGTTCAACTTCACCTCAAGGACAGCAGCTAGAAAGTTGATAAAGCAGGCTAGCATTAAATTTCTGGAATAGTTTTTCCAAAGCCTTGACCTCAACCCTACTTAAAATTTGTGGATTATGCTGAAAACTCAGGTCCATACCAGGACACCATATTAATTCAAATGAACTCTACCAATTCTGCTAAGGATAATGGCTGAGTATACAGACAGAATTATGCCAAAAGTTTTTTGTTGGCTACTAAAAGCATCTGGTTGCAACTTGCTAAGGGACATTAAAGCAATTATTGGGGTGTATATTCGCCAAATTAGTCTTTTAAAGTCATTAAAGATGTATCCTGTACAATTACTCCACCCTAGAAAAAGAACAGTTACAAAAACAATAATTAAAAGCCCCATATTACAGTGACATTTGTACCTATGATGAGTGGATGTAAACTTTTGACCACTTCCCTGTTTCTGAGAGGGTTTTTTTGTACCTTTCACCACATTAATTTGGGAATTTTTGTTCTTCACATTTTTCCTCATGCAGCTTTTAATGAGCTTAAGATCTTAAATGTAAGATTTAAAAAAATTAAAGTGTTATATTTGCATTCGTAAACAGTTGTTTATGCTAGTGGTTGTATGTGTGACTGCGATTGTGCTGCTTTACACCGTTAGTTACCCAACGGCAGACGTTATATAGCATACCTGTGCATAGGATACACGGAATTTGTATTTAACTCCTAAAACAACGTTATTTAAAAATCACTGTAGTACTTTTACACAGTAAACTCGCTCGCCGGGATCACAAGGTCAGGCCTATTTATGCTGTTGACATAATCGCACGTCATGCTTGTCCCAGGGAATAGACGGTGACCGCGTTGGGGCGTTTTAACGTTCCCATCACTGCACGATTTCCACTGATGCCACGAGACACGGGGGCGACGTTTGCCATTTAAACGGCTCTTTCGTTTGAATAATCTTTCATCGGACGTGATTAGAGCTCGGCTGCTCTGACGTCAGCCAGATTGTCCGCGTTAGGTGAGTCTCGCGCAGCTTTCCCTCCTCCTCCTCCCCTCCCTCATCCTCTAGCGCCCCTCCTGCCTGCTTTCGTGAAAAAAAGATACGATGAAATCGCTCGCGCTCGCTGCCATCATCACCATCAGCGCCGCCCTGTAGAGCGAGAGAAAAAGAGAGAGAGCGCGCGCTCGAGACCCCCCCCTCCCCACCTAACAACAACCCCAACCCCGCAGGCTCGAGCACAACGACCCCACCTCCCACCCCCCCTTCTCAACCCCCTCTGATAGAGGGGACGGAGCCAGAGACTCACAGTCACGGAGAAAAGACCTTTTCGGGATCCCGGCTCCGTTTCGCCCTCAATCCGGGCCTAATGCTGTAGCAGACCGCGCGGGAGGAGAGCGCGAGCGAGACAACGCAGTGACAGAGAGTCGGCGAGGGACAGGGCGGACCGGGGAGACGACGGGATTGCTCATTCGCCTGGAAACATGGGATGTACGCTGAGCGCCGAGGAGCGCGCCGCTCTGGACCGGAGCAAGGCCATCGAGAAAAACCTGAAAGAGGACGGGCTGGTCGCCGCAAAGGACGTCAAACTCCTCCTGCTCGGTAAGATCAGAGCCGCCCCGGCCGCGGGGCTTCGTCTCCTCGGCTCGGTCTACCTCTTTTGGTGGGACTGCATGGGGCGGAGGTGCTCTCCGTGGTACTGATTTCTTTGCCGGCTCTCACTCTTGCCCTCCTCCCCTCTTTACAGGCGGCGGAGAGTCCGGCAAAAGCACCATCGTCAAGCAGATGAAGTAAGTGTCCGTTAATTTTAATTTTTTCGGGGCCTTATTTCGACCCTCTTACACACATCGAGAGTGAAAGGCCCGAGATTGCGCCTGCCTCCCCTATATGGGCTAAGGCAGGTTGAGCCGCCATGTTTCGAGAGGCCGTATAGCCCAGGAGGAGTGCCGGTGACTCGAGCACCTCCTGTAGACCGACAGTGAGGCTGCGGAGGCCACACCGGTGCGTCCCAGGGTGCTGTTCACCGCCGGGGTGCTGAAATGTAGTTAACGAGGCTTTGGCTTGACTACAGGGAGTGTGCGACTGGGGAGGTGTGGGTGTTGTTTCTCCGTATGCGAGTGTGTGCGTGCGCGCGCGAGCGTGTGTGTGTGAATTACAGTGAGGACTACAGGTCCATTAGTGAATACCTCTGCTTTTAATCTTAATGGCTTTAAGTGCCCGATATCGCCGGGAGTACTTTGCCCATAAAGCCGATTTACGCAGAAATATGGCTTCTAAAACAGCATCTAAACCTCCCCCTGTCTGAGCTAAATCACTCTTTGATGTTTTAAATCACAGTTGTCATCTCCTCTAACCCTCTTAGTTAAGTTTCTCGATGTTTTAGCATGACAAAGCCACGCTGTTCTGCTTATTCTGTCCTGTGAAACATCTCTGTCTCCTTCCTGCAACTGCACCGACTGCGCCCTCCCTCTATGCCTCTTCCCTTCACCTCATTACCCTCCTTGCGGTCTCTGATTGCCCATAACTCACCACTCTTCCCTGAACTCCACACACTGGGCCAGATAGTGTTTACAAACACTTTCAGAGCTTCCTTCAGCCCAAGCAAGCAGCAGATGGATGGGTTTTTACCACACACACACACACACACACACACACACACACATCATGAGTAATAAAGTTTAGGTATTGGAGAGCTCAGGTTGCATGCCCTTATTTTGATTTGCCAACTCATCATCTTGCAGGTTGGTATTTAGGCAGTGTTGCAATTTCACTCTAGCCAGTTTGTAAAAGAGAGGCAACAGGAAATGTTTGAAAAGCCTTAGTAGAGCCAGAAAAGTGCAGCACAGACATACACACCAGAGTAGATTTTCCACATGGACTGAGTGAATTAAACAAGGAGCAGCTTCATCGATAGATTGATGTAGCACTTGCCACGGCAGTCA